TGCTTCCTATTTTATAAGATTTACTAAGGGTACCGCATTCGTGTTTCTATCGTGAAGCAGTTGTGTTTACATGGCTGTTTCGGTTTGAAGGGTGGGATATGTCGTGAATTTACTGGGTACAGAGGAATAACACCTGAGTCCTCAGGATTGGCAACGCATGGGGGGTATCATGGGCATGGGCAAAACAGTATACTCTGTTATGTCCATGGTACTGCTCATGTCTATAGGCAACGGTTACCACTTTCCATCAGGTGGGTCGTCAGCTTGTTTGCTATTCTAAGTTGTATAAAAAAAAATAGGGTCTCGTTGACGGTTGTGCGAGAGATCCTCTCAGTTCAAAGCTACGTCAAATTAGCGAAAGTTCAAGCGCGATTCCATATTAAGTAATACTTTATTGAATTAGTTATTATTTTGGGAATTCATAAGTTAGTAATCACATAACCCACAAGACTCGAATAAAAGTAGCCTATATTCTTCCATTTCATATAAAACGAGTATACCAAATTTCATAGTGATTTATTAATTGCTTAAATTGATTGTTAGCAATAGGAATCTATCAGCTTCACTGCTAGCAATGTAGCCTATCAGGTCGACCTCCACGCGTTTCTTATTCAACGACTCAGTTTGGTTTCAAAATAAATATTTTTTTTTATACAACTTAGAATGGCAAACAAGCTGACGGTTCTCCTGATGGGAAGTGGTAACCGTCGCCTATAGACATAAGCAGTACCATGGACATAACAGAGTATACTGTTTCGCCCATGATACCCCCCATGCGTTGTCATTCCTGAGGACTCAGGTGTTATTCCTCTGTACCCAGTAAATACACGCCATATCCCACCCTTCAAACCGAAACACAGCCATGCAAACACAACTGCTTCATGATTGAAACACGAATTGGACAGAGGTACCCAAGCAATCGACTTTTGTACAAAGTCTCCATCTGATAAAATTTACTGTATGTGTAGCTCTGTAACTTTGCTAATTCATTTTTCAAAGGGTTTGTTCTGACATTCCAATATTTTCTTAATTCCTTTAATATTAATGTACTTTCTTAAATGTCTACTTACAAACAATGTTACATTTGTGGTTTTTAGAGACGGTTAGCCGTATGCAGATGTTTCAAGTTGTTCAGTGAACTATGTAAAGGGCTATGTTCGGAGTTTCTTTACGTGATAGAATCCGAAATGAGGATAACCGCAGAAGAAGAAAAGTGATGGACTTAGCCCGAAGGATAAGCAAGCTGAAGTGTCAATGGGCTGGTCACATATCTCGAAGAAAGGTTCTTGAGTGTCGATCCCGTACAAGCAAAGACAGTGTAGGACCCTTACTAGAAGGAATGACGACCTCAAATACAGAGGGGAAAGGGATTGTTAGTAATGGGATCAATAGCCCCATTACTAGCAATATACCTTGTCAGGTCGACCTCCACGTGGTTCCCCCTAGAAACCATCGTGACTAATTCTAGTTGAATTCGTCAGGATGGGCTAACTGACCTACTTTCATCTTCATCTGTCATCCCTCACTGGTGCCCCGCCAGTGTATACCAATAGCGCAGACGGGGTTACCATACCATTATCACCCATTAAAAAAAAGACCTCAAATACATTGCAGGCAATGTATGGATGAGTGTGGTTTAGGACCGTTCGTTAGAGACATCAATTAATACGATCATTAAGGGAAATTATTAATTATAATAAATCCCCATAACTTATACATAGATACATAGATTTTTTTATACAACTTAGAATGGCAAACAAGCTGACGGCCCACCTGATGTAAAGTGGTAACCGTCGCCTATAAACATGAGCAGTACCATGGACATAACAGAGTATACTGTTCCGCCCATGATACCTCCCATGCGTTACCATTCCTGAGGATTTAGGTGTTATTTCTCTGTACCCAGTAAATTCACGCCATATCCCACCCTTCAAACTGAAACACAGCCATGCAAACACAACTGCTTTACGGTAGAAACACGAATGGGACAGAGGTACCCAAGCAATCGACTTTTGTACAAAGTCTCCCTCTGGTAAATATACATACATAGATTCTCTATATAATTCCTCCAAAAGATTATAGTAGTAAACTATTATAGATACAAACAAATATAGAACATGCAACACAAAACTCTAAAAGTTACCATCACATTCATATTTATTTAGATCTTGTGTTTATAAAGATATATTTCTTTATATTAACCGCATAATTTAAATACGACATCAAGCCATTCTTTCCGATCCCTTGTTGTTTGACCAATGGCTCAGAGGCGGGCATTGTCTTCATATCAAACAATCGTACAATTGATATAGCACCTTTTATGTCACACCTTTGTTTTTAAAAATAACAATGGATCCAAATGGCATTTATTAACATATTATCTAAGTATATGCCATGTATTTTCACTGTATTTTTTTATATGGCTTAGAATTACAATGAAGTTGACGAGCCGCCAAATATAAAGTGGTATCCATCACCTATAGTGAATCCTGACATCGAATCTCAGCCTATATATATATATATATATATATATATATATATATATATATATATATATATATATATATATATATATATATATATATATATATTATAATTACACACATCAAAAGTGTCTCGGGATCAAATACGTTTTGCGAATATCTCCCATTACTGACAATATACCTGTCAGGTCGAGCTCCACGCGGTTCCCCCTGGAAACCATCGTGATTAATTATTGTCAAATTCATCACGATGGGCCAACTGACCTGCTACATCCTCATTTATCATCCCTCACTAGTGCCCCGCTAGTGTATACCGATAACGCAGGCGGGGTCACCATTTCATTAACATCTATTAAAAAAAAAATCACGCAATACAACTGGAACTGTCTGTTATATTACGTATCTATGTAAACTTATATATAAAAGCAAACTTAAATTTCATAGAAGTCAGAGCACCCACGGCGCCTACCCAAAATAGAAAGCATTTTTGGATGTTTGTTGAAACTGTATTATCAATTCAGAATTGAAATGTTAAACTGAGTAAAATATGAAAATATAAAATTGTCGTCCACTGCTAAACGACTTACTTACTCCTTCCCTGTAAGAGGGGTTTTGCCAGTAGTTGTCACGCTTGGCAAATAGGTTGACAACCGCAGTAAGGCTTTGGTGATGTTTTAAGAGGGACACTGCCAGCCCTCAACCATTTAGTTCCCTTAGTTACCTCTTACGGCACTTATGGGAAAGGACGAGATGGCTCCTTCCTTTGCTGGATTCACATGGCAAGGCATAGCGTATTCCTCAGTAACAGCTGCGCATAATAGATGCCTTGAGCATCACAGTGTACTCTGTGATACCCAAAGCATTTTGGCAAGGTCATTTTAGAACATCTCAGCCTAATGAGTAAGTTTTAACCATTTTAGTTCAAGAAGCCATCAGTTCGATTGCCATTTTAAATTGTAAAAAATCTGTACCTTCACCCCAAATTGCTTATGGAGTAAGCAGAATGATTCCAGTGTCAATCGCCTTTATCCATAATATCTTACTAATGACCTTCTTTAATTTATGCCATACAATACAAATGTATTTGTATTGGACATAAGTAAAATTCCTTTCTATTAAATGCGATTGCAATGCTTGAATATTATTAATTTATGAATTTTCTCTCAAACTGCAACAATGTAATTGGCTGAAGTTAAGTGGACACTCATTACCATCATCATCATTATATCAGCCTTTAACTGTCCACTGCTGAACATAAGCTCCAAAGAGGGAGACCTTTAGGGATTTTGCCAGTAGTTGCCACGCTTGGCAACCTCAATGAGGCTTTATAGTTGGATATTCAATTTAATTTATTGTTAATTATAGTGGATAGTCAATACTGTGTTATTATATTAGATGTTAGTAGCAATTTTCAAAATTTTTTTTAATTTTCTTTCGGTGAAAAAAAAAACTCAGATTTTTCACAATATGTTATTTCATCGAAAGTAACTTTTATATTTATATTGTTATTTCGCTTTAAATATTTTCTAAACTTTTTTTTTTTTCTTGTTTTTAATAAAGAAAATGATACAAAAGAAATAACTTTTTAAGGTTTAAGTTTTTAACTTGACTGTTGAGATGTTTGTAAATTATGAATATTAGTTCGGACAAGTTCTTTTCTGAATATTATAGTAGGCTAAATTAAAAAAAAAACTACATAAACTCAAGTTGAACATACAAAATTTACAATGTGATACAATTTTCTATGACTCGTGTACACGACTACGTTACTTATTTAATTTTTTTTTTTCATGAATTGGTTTTTTATACATTTTTTTGTATTTTTTACAGTTAATCCGCTGATTTTTTGATAGTGTGGGTTACTAAAACCATAGAAAATATTTACTAAAACGTAACTTACACCTGAGTCCTCAGGAATGGCAACGCATGTGGGGTATCATGAGCGAAACAATATACTCTGTTATGTCCATGGTTACTGCTCATGTTTATAGGCGACATTTACCATTTTCCATCAATTGGGCCTCAGCTTGTTTTCCATTTTAAGTTGCGTAAAAAAAATATTAAACCTAACTTATGGATTTTTCTCCTTCTAATAAAGAGGTTTGCCATACTTAACAGGCGAGTTGGCAACCGCAGTAAGGCTTTGGTGATATTTAAAGAGAGGACGCTATTGCCTATCCCTTCACCATTAAATTCACTTAATGGAAAAAAGGTAATTGGAAACTAAATTAATGAGAAAAAAGTACATTTTGGCGTAATAGTAAACATAATAGTAAATGTCAGAATATAGAAAATTAATAAAAAAAAAATTAATAACTGATAAATATAAGAAATTATAATCTCTGACATACGAGACACAATACCTTATTCTTTTGAAATGGTAACACACTAATATTATCATAGAATGATTATTATACTATTTCCCATTGTCATACTTATCAATGATTATCATATTTCCATAGACGAATGACCTAATATTACTGATTAGGTGTGATAATTGTTAAAATAAACAAGATATTGTAGTTAAATGTATAATCGTTCACATTCTTTCATACCTTTATATTACAACATTACAATTACTTATACTAACACTTACATTTACGATCACAATTAGTACAATTTTTAATTATCACGAACTATTACCGAGCCCCATATTCATTGCGTTCAATATATCACCATTGTCAGCGTCAATTTCCCATGCGAATAGACCTCCTAGTTTGTTGTTTCTTACATACTTCCCTTTCTCGATAACTGACCTCGCGTCATCATATGTTATAAGATCACCAGTAGATGGTCTGAACACGTAAGGACCTTGTGCAACATTATCATAATGGTACTCCCATTTTCCCATAGCAATTTCATTGGCAATCTCTCTGTAATCCACTACACCATCTTGCCATGTGCCTTTTACGGGACCTGTAGCATTTCCTGTGAATGGTATATTGTTTTCATAGCCATGGACTCCAGTCCAGCCTCGGCCGTACATGGCAACGCCAACTACAATCTTTTTAGGATTCACTCCTTGAGCTAACAAGAATTTAACTCCAAAGTCCGTCGTGTAAGTCTCCTTTGGATTCCATGCAGGAGCGTATAGAGATGCTTGATGACCCAATGTGTCATTGGACCAGGCTCCCTTGAAGTCGTAAGTCATTAAAAAGATATGGTCCATGTATTTCTGAGCAGCATTATAGTCAACAACTTGAATCTTATCCCAGCCGGCACTTATAGCTGAGGTGAGTTCATATTTCTTTCCACTTTCTATGGAGAGCTCGTCCAACATTTCACGAAGTTCTTTCATGAGCAGCACATACACCTTACCATCTTTAGGACTACCAAGGTTAGGATTGGCGCCTTTGCCCCCGGGGAACTCCCAATCGATATCAACACCATCGAAGAATTTCCATGTCTGGAGGAAGTCTTTCACAGAAGCCACGAAACGATCTCTCTTTGATTTGTCAGTAAAGAAGAAAAATGGATCAGCCAGTGTCCATCCCCCTACTGATGGCAGGATTTTGAGGTCAGGTCTGGCCTGTTTCAACATCATTAGCTGACCAAAGTTACCCTTGTAGGGTTCGTTCCATGAAGAGAGTCCCTTTTGAGGTTTTTGTAAAGCAGCCCATGGATCATGAATGGACACTTTGAAGTCCTCGCGGCCACTGCACGAACGTTGAAGGGCTTGAAAACTGCCTTCGATTTCTTTCAAACTGTCGTTGATACCGTCACCACCACAAATTGGAATAAAACCATACAACAAATGGGTTAGATTTGGAATCGGAACACGATCAACTGGGAACTTTCTGGGATACACTCCCCATTCTACGAAGTACGCGCCGACCACTTTTCCCGAGGTTTGTTTGAACAACTTGTTTTTCTCTCCAACCGTAAAATCTAGGGGCGGTAAATGGCTACCATCGGTATCAGCCACTACGATCTCGGTGGGGTCGCTAGAACTGCAGCCATCGGCATTGCAAAGCTCAACCGTCATTTGATACCTCCCGCCCTTCTTCACTTTAAAAGTCGCCGACCCTGATGCTCCTGCTGCGCCAGTCCAGTACTCCTTTCCATTGAGTAGAACCCTCGCCTTCTCAGCTGGATCTCCAGACCAAACGTTCCACGTAACAGAGACGTCGGCGGCATCCTTTTTCTTGACGAGCTGGTTGTACGCTGTAGCGGCTTGGTTGACTTCTACAATGGCGAAAGTGCGCTCGCCCCAACCCAGGCTAGGTTTACCTGGGGGCGCGCACTCAGCTATGGCGATCAGTCCCGCCGCGACGACTACTGGCCACACTCGAAGCCCCATGTCGGTTCTAAAAAATAAAAAAAATAATACTGTGAGCCAAACCTCACAATGAGGCGTCACGAACAAACTGGAGTTGCATCTCTGTAGTATCTTTTTATATATGGCGGGTTGTAGGCCAACCGCTACAAAATACCCGTATTGTACGGAATGTCGGTGCTGGAATTATTTGAGCTTAATAAAATCGTTAGCACAGTTTTTTATCCCGGTCATGTTAGTAGGACGGTCAAGGTGACAGATTAATTTAATTGTTTTTAAATTGTTTGTTTTAGTCAAGTCGTGTTATCGCGTTATCTACTAAGTGTTTCGTTGTTGAGTGCCGCGCCTGTGATTTGTCAAGAGATATAATTTAAGTCGCTTCCGATAATGCACTCGAGCTATGCCTCTACGACCAGTTTGTTAGCAATTAAAAAAAGAAAATTAATATTCCAAATTAGATTTACATATAAACATTTATTCTGATGTATTCTTTTTTCTTATTTCAAATTCTAAATTTTAAAAATTATAACGTTCTAATCTTTTTCTTTATGTAGAAAACCTTTGATATTTTGTTTTAAATAATAGATAGGTAAGTACTTATACAATTTATTTATACTCTTACAAAGGTTAAGCATCAAGTCATACGAAGGTGAATAATAAACAAAGAAACAAAAATGTGTATAATAAATACAGGTCTAAGAGGCAATATCATTATTACCGATTAATTTCTATTGAAAAGAAGTTGTTTTTTTTTTTTTAAAACAAACAGACAATATATTTTTTTATATTATTATAGAGTACCATTATCTATGTTGTCATAAAACTAGAATTATTCACTTTATATTATCCAATTATCTTTATATTTTCAAGATATAGGTGTATAAGTGATTATATTGTTTAATATATATTACACCTAAATAATTATGTGTTGTAATATTTATGTTTTATGTATTATATTATTTCCTTGTTCAGAAATATTTATATGTTTTATATAATACACATAAATATATAAATACATAGTTATATTACAGAATTAGGTAGGAATTATATTCATTTGCATCATCATTATTCAAAACTTGTTTTAATTAATATTTATAATAAATGTATCTCTATAAACGCCAATAAAAGCCCAACTTTTTTATTATTGTGCGAATCAAACGACGCCGTGATTCATACACACTACGTAGGTTTAAATGAGTCATCAGAACGTGTTTGATTAGGATACTAAAATATTATAACTATTATACTACTAGCAACACCAGAAAATGGCGCGATTTTTTTTTATACCACAAAAGGGACAAACAACATACAGCTCGTCTAATGGTAACCCACCTGATGGTAAGTGGTTACCGTAGCCTATGAACACCTGCAATACCAGAAGTATTACGCGTGCGTTGCCGACCCTGAAGAAACCTCTTTACCCCCCTTAATAATTCTTGTAAGAGGCAATTACAGTGGTACCCTGCATTTTTGTTGTATTCCGTTAAGAGACCGATTGGCTGACAACCAGTGCTGTTCACTGTTCACATTGCGCTGGGACACTCACAGCATCAGCTGAGCCGGTTCCTTTTGCCTAGTATGGAACACTTCTTGTATATGTATTTTCTATATTTTCTATTGTGATTGTGTGTTTACTGGCAATGTTTTCTATTCTATTCTATTTAATAGAAATCGAATTATAATCTAAGCTATGATTTTTTATGGGTGATAATGGAATGGTAACCCCGCCTGCGCTATCGGTACACACTGACAGGGTGTGAGTGAAGTAAGGAATGTTGAGTGAGAATTCAGATCAATTGACTCATCGTGAATTTACTAAGGGTTAACCACAATGGCTTCCAGAGGGGACCGCGTGGAAGTCACTAAAACAGAATATACTAGCAATAGGACCACTCATTCCCCTTTACTGAGACATTTAAATTTTTATTTCTACATACAAAATATCTACTCATAACATGAGACTGGTTCATACTAGTCTCTACTGTATACTAATATTGTAAAGAGGGAAGATTTTTTTTGTAATGGGTGAAAATGGTATGGTAACCCCGCCTGCGCTAACGGGATACGCTGGCGGAGCACCAGTGAAGGGTGATAGATGAGAATGAAAACAGACCAGTTAGCCCATCATGATGAATTCATCAGGAATTAGCCATGATAGTTTTCAAGGAGAACCGCGAGGAGGTCGACCTGGTTGGGTATATTGCTAGCAATGGAATTCTCAGTCTCCATTACTAATAATCCCTTTCCCGCCAAAGAGGAAAGATTTGTTTGTTTGTTTCTAATGAGTAAACTTAAAAACTACTCAACCGAATTTAAACATTTTTAGGAAGTTACAGTCTCCATGTCATATTCGAAAATTCTGTCGATCCGTGCGAAACTAGATCGGATTGTTAACAGACATAATAAAGTCGAACTGATAAAAGAATAAATATTTAATTTCTTCTGATCATCACAAAAGTCGAGTGACAAAAACTGGAAAACATCGAATCCATTTTTTCAAGAGGAAATTTTTATTTATTTAAATTCTATACCGACAACTATTTAATTATTTTCGAAACCAGCTCTATTCATTCACACAATTGATTTAAAAAGTGAATTAATGAATTTAAATTTAATGCAGTTTCCATTAAATTTGAATATTATTAACTCGGTGGTCGGTACATTTAATTTATTCAAATAGATCTACAAAGCATGTTTGTTTTTATACGTCTGTTTGTTGAAACTGTAATTGTTTTTAGTATTAACTATTTTTTTTTATTTATTTATTTATCCTTTATTGCACAATAAAACTTTGTACAAGTGGCGAGCTTAATGCCACATGGCATTCTCTACCAGCTAACCATTAGGTAAAATCAGAAAGCGTATGAAGGGCAGATGTGGTGAAAAATATGCGACATAATTATAGCATCGTACTGATTTTTTTTTTAATTTTCAATATATATAATAACATATTTTTTTTTATCAACAAACTATCAAATTTATTTATTTTACACTTTATTGCACCATTTATAAAATAGTAAATACAGTTAATTTTAATGAAAATTGATACAAAAGGCGGCCTTATCGATAAGCAATCTCTTCCACACAACCTTTGGGTAGAGGACATTGAGAACAAGACAAAGGGTAGGTGGCGCACTATTATATATAAATTTATATATACCAAGATATATACAAATTATTGACTGACATAATTGTAGATGACCTGTATGGCCTAGTGGTAGGCACATTGCTTAACTTGAATATAGTTCTGGATTTGACACTTAATCGAGTCAATTTTGGAAGAAATGTTTTCATTTTTAAACTATTTAAACAAGAATCAAATTTCTCAGTTCACGCGAATCTTTTTATGTAGTAATGTAGCTACATTAAAAGATATCTTTGAAAATTCTAAACAAACTTTTATTACTTAAGAATAAAAAGGCGAGTTCGTTAGCACATCGTGATGAATATACCTGGAATTCAGCACGATGGTTTCCAGGGGGGACCACGTGGAGGTCGACCTTACAGAGTATATTGCAATGGGACTAATAGTCCGCATTACTAACAATCCCTCCCCCTCCTCACCCTTTACCATATTAAGCTTTTACCCGCAACTTCGTTCATGCAACCAGGATATGTCTACTGATCAGAATATAAGTAGCTTTTATTTATTCATTCATTCATTTTCTATATCAAATTTCACAGTGATTAGTTAAGCCGTTAAAACTCTACAGATAACAAACAAACAAACTCACTTTTATCTAAATTTCTAAACTCATTTTTCGATGTAAATGGAATTCTTTATTTTTTTTTTTTTTAATAATTTTGCTTTATCACTCAAACGAAAGAAAAAAATACTTGACTTAATTCGAGATGTGGACATGGAGAAGAATGGAAAGCTGGACAGAAAAATTAACAATTGAGGAAGTCTTGAAAAGGGTGAATAAGAAAAGAACATTAATATAAACAATAGAGAATAGGAGAGGCAAAATGCTGGGCCATTTTATACGACATGACGATTTTTAAAGAGCATAGTAGAAGAAAAAATAGAGGGCAAAAGAGGAAGGGGAAGACCGAGGAATAACTACATGGGACAGATAAAGGAAACACTAGGTGTCGTGTCGTATAGGGAGGTCAAAGCTATGGCCTGGAATAGAGCTGGCTGGAAGAGAATGCATGAATTAGTTGCACCGACAAGAAAAAACTCTTAAATGAAAATAGAATGAAGAATTCATGTAACCAAATCAAAATACAGTAACCAGGTACAATATAAAATAGGGAGAAAGGGATTGTCAATAATGTAGACTACCAATCCTATTGCTAACAATGTACACTGTCAGGTCGACCACTACGTGGTCCCCTCTGGAAACCATCGTGCTGAATTCTTGATGTATTCATCACGATGGGCTAACTGACCGGCCTTTTCATTCTCACCTATCATCCCCCACTGGAGCCCTGCCAGCGTACACCGTTAACGCATACCATTGTTTTTTATTTACAACTTAGAATGGCAAACATGCTAACAGCCCACCTGATGGAAAATGGTAACCTTTAGACATTAGCAGTATCATGGACATAACAGAGTATCTTGTTTAGCCCATGATACCCCCATGTGTTGTCATTCCTGAGGACTAAAGTATTATTCCTCTGTACCCAGTAAATTCACGCCACATCCCACCCTTCAAACCGAAACACAGCCATGCAAACACAACTGCTTTACGGTTGAAACACGAATGGGACAGAGGTGCCTAAATCAACTACTTTTGTACAAAGTCTCCCTCTAGTGAAAATGAATGATAGGTGAGAATGAAAAGTCAATTAGCTCACGTCGGTTTCCAGGGGGAACCGCACGGAAGTCGACCTGATAATTCCTTTCCCTAACAATTCCTTTCCCCCCAACTTTGTCAGTTGCAAATCGATTTAACAAATTCTCTTTTATTACCTGAACAAATGTACTAAATGTACAGATCGATCCCATACAAGGTCTCATAATAAATAGGCCGGTTGATATTATGCCATGTTTGACATTGACGGTGACAATTGACACCATTCTCTGATAGTCTCATTGTTGCCGTTCATGTCTATTGCCGACGGTCACCATTCACCATCATGTGGGTTGTCGACTGTTTATATTTCATAGTTAAGTAAAAAATATATATATAATTAAAATATATCTATTTTTGTCTGTATATATTCTTCGAGATATTCAAATTATGTATGCGGGCCAACCAGCATAATATTACTACATTACAAGTTGGATAAAATTCTATAAATAGCATGTCGTATGTTTTTTTTTTTTAATGGATGGTACTACAATGGTAGCTCCGCCTGC